GATTACAGGACTGAATCTCCCGCAGTCGTGGGGACTTCGGAGTCTGAATCTGGGGAAGCTTCAACATGTCGATGAGCTATTGTTCATCCAGGGGGTGCTTGATGCTGAGTTTCATTTGGATGCGCTCAAGTCTGCGGGGAGGGTTGAGATTGCGGGGTTGTGGACGAGGTACGTATTATTCATGGCGACCTTTGCATAGAGCGTTCTTCAAACACTAATCATGATTCAATAGCATCTCCCTCCCCACCCTCGAAACAGCCTCCAGCCTCATAATCGCCACAGACCCATCCTGGACCCCCACCGCGCGAGCCCCGCTCCGAATCGACCTCCCCTCGCTGAAAGAAGCAGGCTGGATGAGTATCCGCGGCTACGTGAGCAGACTCGAGACACCGGAGCTGAGGACCATCGGCAGGCGAGATACCGCCGAGACGGAGACGGCGCTTAGCGGGATGGAGGTTTCTGCAAACTATACGGACCTCAAGGCTGTTAATCTGATTGCGCTGGAGGAGCTTTATGGGGGGTTGGTGCTTGAGGGGAATATTTCTGGGTATGCCTGACATCCATTCCTCTCTCTCTTTTCCTACGGCGTCTTTATTTGGCTGGTGTTTACTGACATTGGGATTTTTCAGTGTAAGCCTCGGCGTAATGACCGAGACAAACGCAACAATCACTATCCACTCATCTTCATCCATGTGGATCTCCTCCAGCCTGAAAACCGCGGGTGTGATCGATGTCTCGGGCGAGCTTGAGACGTAAGTTCATCATTCTACTTTCTCGCGAACTACTCAAAGGAAAAAAAAAGCTAACAGAGTGCAGAATCAACTTCGTAAACCTCGCCTCTGCCCAGTCCTTGACAATAGACTCAACTACAACAACTACATGCCCATCAAACATCATCGAACTCTACGAGAGCCTCAACTCCCCGGCGAAAGCCACATTCTGCGACGACGGGTCTACCTCCACATCAGACTCCTCCTCCTCAGACTCATCCTCCTCAACAGGCTACACATTCCCCACCTTCGACGACCTCTACGGTGACAGCGACTCCGCCTCCGCCTCCTCATCAAGCTCACCCCGTAACCACGGGATCCCAACGGCGGTCATCGTATGCATCCCGCTGTTTACGTTCTGCGGCTGTGTACTTGCCGCGTTTTGCTGTGCGACTAAGTGTGGGCGGCGGAGGGAGAGTAGGGAGCTTAGGGAGGCGCTGGATCATGAGCGGGGGCAGAGAGGGGATGCTCCTGGGGCGCCTGGGGCTGCTGCTGGCGGGGCTGTTGAGGGGAGAATTCAGGTGCTGCAGCCTGCGGTTGTGAGGGATCGATATAGCGGCCATGGAGCTGGCCATGCAACTGTACATGGGCATGGCCAAGAGCATGGGAATGGGAATGATAACCCGCGCCCATATGGGCTTTACGAGACGACAGACGATCTGCCGCCGGCGTACTCGGTCGATACGCCGACGCGCGAGCGGAGTCGGTATTTCTAGGTTAGGATTCAGTTTCTGCACGATAATGCACTATACTCACTCAGACTCTTCCTTTTCCTCTTCAACCCCGGGAAGAAACGTAGCCATGGTATGAGGGTCAAGTGTAGTGCGTGCGCGTGTACGGACATCGCTGGGTATAGAGGCCTGTAAAGAGGTGCAGCCCATGTATGGTGCTTGTGTGAGTAGTTCAAGTAAAATGGATGCGGCGAGATTATCCTGGGTTTCGAATCCGTCCAGTACGTCGATCACAGGCCCTGGTGTGGGTGTGTTTGTGTGTCAGAGCATCGAGACGAGATACCCCCACTGGTCATCGAGGGATTGGATTTCCATCTTGAGGTATTTCGAAATCGAGCCGCACATGTTCCTTCTAGGTTTAGGAGTCCCGGCATATGACCGGGTCCCAGGCGTAGTATATAAGGTTTGTGGCGTTGTCCCGACCGGGCTTTGGTCGGTCGACGAAAGCTGCAGAGAGACGGGATGTTTATGCAAACGCGCCAGATTAAGTACTGGCTGGCGGGACGAGGCGTTTGAAGAGAAGACGACAAACGATGATTTCCATTCCCTGATTCCCCTCGACAAAAGATAGAAACAGCCGTAGAAAGATAGCCAGAGAGCAGAGCAGAAAGAAATGAACCCAACACCATCCAAGAACCAACAGCCCATCCGAACCTAAATCCAGGTCTAACCATCGGATGATCTTCATGATCCAGCATCCCACTCAGGTTACCCAGTCACCCGCACAGCCTTATTCGCACTTCTTGAATCTTCAACACAAGCGCGTAATACAATCCAGAGAAGGGAGATATCATGCACCGAACCCAATTCCATCGCGGGCGAAACGGGTACGTTCGCACCACCTCCTCGAGGGCACTGAGCGAGTTCTGGATGACGAGAGTATTCATCCTTAGCGCGCGGAGGTCGTATGGGGAATGGTAAAAAGACGAGGAGGAGAGGGTGAACGGAGAGCAGTAAGTGGAGGCACAGTCCGGGCCTCTCCCACGTCCCTTGAGGAAGTGTTCCGTGACAGCTATGCTTTGTACCAGGTGTTCGTAGATGGGTTGCATGTACCGCCAAAGCAAGTCGAGTTGCGCGGCGCGCGAGCCGCGCGGGAATAATGGCGATGAGCTGTCCGCGACCTGGAACTCGAGGCATAGCTCGAGCCAGCGAGAACAGTCATGCTCAATGGCGGATGGGCTGTATGTGTCGCGGATGTAGGGCGGGCAGGCGGCGAGCAAGTCTTGCAGGGCGAGGAAGGCCGCGAGCGTATGTTCTGCCAGTATTGCTGCTGTGGTCTGTTCTTTGAGTGTGGTGATGGACTCGGACATGGTGTGGTTTCTGTTTGAGGGTTTTGTTTTTGGTCTGTTGCTGTGTTCTTCCAGGTAAAGAGTGCAGTCAGTTCGAAGCTTGTAGCGGTAGGGCCAGTGCATATCACTTTGGTCTCTGGGTATCGCTGTCACGGGCTCGGGATAAATGGGTTATAGTACGTGGTAGAGGAGCGTATGTGAATCTAGGCCTCGATGTCCTTTGTTTTGATCGGACCGGGGCAAAGGGGGTTTTTATAGCTCTTCGCGAGCAATGCAAATTAACTTCTAAGTCTTGGCCTCGATTAATATCTAGAGGAACTCTTCTGTCAATTATTGGTATCAAGGCCTTTTGTCAAGAGTGAAAAGAAAAACACAAGGAACAAAGAACGATTATTCTTAAAAGAAACCCCATCATCGAAGCACTCTCTTAGAGGAACTTAACAAAGACGATCACTAGCTGGACAGGGCAAAAGAAATAACAGAGAGAAAAAGCGCAAAGAGAAAAACAAAAAAGTCAAGCACTCAGTCAGTTCTTGGTTAAGGGGCCGGGGGCAAATTCTCTACCCCATGGAGCAAGGGCTTGGTGGTGGGGACCCCCGGGTTGGCCTTTGCGGCCCACCACCTTATTAGTGTGTCCATATTGGTGTTATCATCTGTGTAGATGGGAAGTAATGAAGACATTTCTATTTGTAGCTTGCCCTGGTCAAAATGGGCGAGGAGAATGCGAGCGTGGCCTGGACCGACGAAGGAAATAAGCATCACCTAGCCGAACCAAGAGTGTTAGCATGGGCTGGGGCAGACCAATGGATGAGAAGCCTGGGCTCGGAATTCAAGATATACGCACGGGGATGATGGTATGCGCGTGCAGCTCCTCCGCCTCGTGACGCTCGGCCATGATCCCCAGAATGGTCACGACCTCAGCGCGGAGCGGCTGCTGGTCAATTGCATCAACACCTGTCCACATGGCTGCTTTGAAATGGGGGAAACGCGTATCCCTGCAAATCCAGCCATCCGTGCACTTCGCTTCAAGCCTGCTGAGCGATTCCCGGTTATATCTGGGTGAGTAGGAACTGTAGAATAGTGAACTATTAGATCATCTGCACATCCAACACAGTGATCATAATCACTTGCTGCGACGCGACTCACTTTAGTAGCTTCCAGCCTGTAAAGAAGGCTAGCTTGTCCACCTGTTCCTTCGGGCCCATGCGGGGTAGGTCGGTTGTGTGTCCGAAGTAATAGGCGAGCTCTTGGACGTGAAGTCGGAGGGGAGGTTTCTGCTGTCGAGAGAGAGGCGATCCGTGATCTATGACATTGCGCATAGCATCCATATTTTTCTTGGCCTGGGCCGGGATGGGGCCAAGGGGGAGATTTACGATCTCCTGACTATCCATCTGAACGAAGAACTTAGAGGTACCATCCCTGCCGAGATCAAGGGGGCGCACATGGAGCTTGAACCTTTCGAATTCTGTCTGCGTCGAGTCTTGAAGCGCGCCGGGGCTAATGTCGGCTATATGTGGGCTGGAATGGGCGAAGAGTAGACGGATCAGGGACTTAATAACTCGTAGACTGGCCTTCTTGTCCTCCGCTGGGGAAGTTCTGACTGGCGGGGTCCTGATTGAATCTCTCCTGGCGACGACGGAATCTTTGGCCGAATCTGTCGGCGCTTGCAAGTGCCTGACCGTCATACTGGTGGAGAAGAGCAAATGAAGAATAATGAGCTGAGAGCAAGTAGGTAAGGTAGCTGTTGTAGCTCTGGTGATCCATGATGGGAAAGGTGGTTACCTTTCAAACGTTAGTGTACGTAAAGTCTGACTGACAAAGTTCCGGCAACCTATACACCTCGGGAAATAGCATCATTTCCCCTCACTAGAAGTAATCGGTCTTATCTATCCAACGAGGGACTAATTTCAATAAGACAGCGTTGGTATTCCATCATAACACGAAGGGCATCGACATACCTAGGGCATGGACGCCGGTGCGGTATGCGTTCAAGGCTGCGAAGACTAATTGCGCGGATTTTCTGGCTGCTGCTTTTGATTCGCCAGCTGTCATGTGCTGTCGCTCCACTGAGGATAGCAATTATCCACTCCATCCATATTTATCCCATAATTATATTATTCCTTCTGTTGATTTATGTTTCAACTTCCTTATCTCATGTTATTTTATTGTCTCTATAGACCCTATTAATAATGTGCTCAATAACATCACATGGGCTGTTGGCTCAGTTGGTAGAGCGTCCGCTTCGCAGTAACCTCCAAGGTGAAGATTGCGGAAGGTCTGGGGTTCGATTCCCCAATAGTCCATTCTTTTTTTGGTTTTGGGCGCCCTGCCCTGCTTGGGTTACCCCAACGGTCATCCCATCCCATCATCCATCCCATCATCCATCCCATCATCCATCCCACTTGGTTTTTTTTTTTTTTTTTTGCCTGACTTTTCCTATCATCTCCTTTCATTTTCTCTTTCGCGAAAGGCTAGTCTAAATATCGCCTTTGAAGCCGTCGAGAAGGATTGCATATGCGAATCACTACGTGCGGAAAGGAGGCTGTCCGGTCGGTCCTTCCCCCATTGCATACCGCTAGTAGAACAGAGAAGAGCAATTCATGGACCGCTGCCTCTGTGAATGGATCGAAATAAACGAGGAAGGTGCGACCTAGAGTCCAGTGGGCCGGGGCTGAGCCGTACCTTCCTGGTTTACTATTGAGTGTAAAACCGCAAGGAAGGCACGTCCAATGCATAGCTTCCTGAAACGAAATAGGCAGGAACAATCGCTCCCTACAGCCGTTCCTTCCGCATGTGGTTGGCTGATGGACAAGGAACGACCACGGTACCCTCCTAGTAAAGAAAGGAAGGCGCGACAATCGTTCCTTCCTTCTATATCAAACTGCCATCCCACTCCCAGGCTATGGAAATACCATTAGTCACTCAGTGGATTATGCAGTATGTATCTGGGAGCCACATGATATATGTCCTTCGGCCGTAGGCACAAGTACAGAATTCGCTTGGAACGGCCTTTATGATGCTTTTGAAGCTCTCCGTGCATCACTTGAAGATTCATAGTGCCTACTGGGCTATCAGTTTAGACACCTCTCCGAACCGCTTCGACGATGGACCGTGGACGTGTGAAATCATCCGCTACAAACATCCACCAAGGCTCAAGCCCACCAGGATCCCTAATCAGCACACTTCACCAGCCTGCCAGAATAAGATCACGGAGTCTATTCCCCAAGACTCTCCTTGGTCCAGGGGCGTGACAGGGTATTGATCCCAAATCCTCACTAACGACGCCAGAATCCAGTTTTCCAATGAATGCTCCTCTGGTGCTGGCATTTTTGGTTCTGCTAGGTGATGCTTATCTTATTTGTTGGCCTAGAACACGCTTGTATTCTTCTGGCGTATTTTAATAGGGATAGGCTATGTATAGAAATATCAGCCCTGCTTCCTACAACCATGGATAATAATATAAATTTGGACACTTTAGTAATATAGTATGCTGCGAAGGGCAATCCAGGCGTCGACACGACTAGGCCTTTGTGATATGTATGGGGTAGAAAACTTGGCCAGAAACTTGATTGAGGACGGACTAAGTGGTGTAATGTTTCTCTCTTTGTTCCAGGTTGTTTCTAGTGTTTACACAAAGGCCTTATTATCTGATAATCAATGGAAGAATCTCTTGAGAATAAGCCAAAGCCGAGCCTTTCAGGTTAAATTTCATTGTTGACGAAAGAGAAAAACAACCCGGGGATATAAAAACCCGGCTGTACCCCCCATCTCATCAAAGAGAGGACAGAATCACCAAGGCCCTATATTGACACTCGCTCCTGCCTGCAGCGTGCCATAACGCACCTAGCCCAGATCCCCGAGTATCGATACCGAGAAGCATAACAGCTAACAAGCCAGCTCCACCGCTACGCACAAGCCCGAGGTTTATCCACCACACACCATGTCCGAATCCGAAATAAGGACCCTCAAAGACCTAACCACCGCAGGCGCACTAGCAAAACAAACCCTCCTAACCCTCTTCGCCCTACAAAACGCGCTCGCCGCCTGCCCGCCGCGCATCCGCGCCGCATACGACGACCCAGCCCTTGAGAACGCCTGTTCGCGATGGCTGCAGGTCTGCGCCGTCCTCATGGGAGCGGAGAGTAAGTGCGCAGCATCCCAATCCCAATCCCCGCGGAAATTCGAGTTGCTTTGGGCGTGTGTTGAGGATGTCCATCGGTGTCTGGCGCAGTGCTTGGATGTTGCGGAGCGCGTTGCTGGGGGGTCTCGTCGTGGTTCTAGCCTTCAAAACAACTGCAATGACTTTACCGACTCTCACTGTCGTACGAACCCCTCCCACTCCCCCTCTCCTTCTTCTACACGCGGCGTTTTGGTCGAAGAGGGCATCCGCGTGCTAACTATGAACAGTCGGGTCATCCCGGCGAGAATCCGCGCCGTCGAGGCGATGGTGAAGAAGTACACGTAGTGCGTGCGTGCGTCCGTGCGTAGAAACTGGGGTTGCGGCTCGGTGGCTTAGTATAGATAGCTTGTCGAAATTGTATGTTGTTTTTGGTATGGGTATTTAACAGAGTCGAGGGGCCTATATATGGAGATGATGGATTGGGTATTTCGTAACCGGACCTGGAATGGGGTTCTCGCTTGCATACCTACTCCCTCATGCTCTCTCTAAGCGATATGGATTCTTATCTGTTGAAGACAGGGAAAAGCATATAGGTAGCTATATTCAAAATCGAAATTGTTCTATCCTGCTAGTGATAATTTCCCATGCTACATAACATCTCACCAATGCTGGATTAGAACAGCGCCATAAGACACGTTCCTGGGCTGCACTCTATTAGCGGATTACAACGCGATTCCTGAAATTGAAATTGGAGGCGACATCTGCGACTCAATCCTCGGAATATGGATTAGTGCCTAATCGCGTATCTTACCCCGGGGCGACAGATACTTCCGGTGAAGGTAATAGATGGAAGAGGCCCGGGGGCGAAGGAGTAGAGGAAGGAACAGGCTCTGCCGCGGGAACAGGCTAAACCTACTAGTACTGCATTCTAATCTGGCAAGAAGCAGCAAACGACAGATCGCAAATGTCTCGCTTCGTCACAGTCGCACTGCTCTTGACGAGAATTGCCCTCCAGCCAGCTCACGACGTTGGACGTGTCCCCTGCACAGATCCACCGACTCCGCCTCCGACAAGAATCTAAACTGGCACAGCTCTTCTCTCCAGCCGGCTGGAATGAGGTCACGAGGTTTACCCTCCAAGTCTCCCTGGTCTACCGTCCAGGGGCGTAACGGGGCGCCGATCCCAAATCCTCACTAAGGACGCCAGAATCCAGTTTTCCAGCGAACGCTCCTCCGGGGAGAGGCTATATTTACCAGGAACATGGCCTATCGTTTGGAATTCTGTGGGGTAGCGGCGGCCAGATCGTCGGCTGACCCGTGGGTCGAGAATTGAGATCCTGGTGCAGCTGGACTTGGAGGTTGGGGACCGGGGTGAAGTCGGAGGCTCCGTTGGGGGATCCTGGTTTCTATCCTGGACGGACCATTTCTGCCTACACCACACGACATCACTACTTGAACCAAGATACTCTAGATGGTCTCTTAGAGCGTAGCTTACACCCATTACTCCTAGATAATTACACGATTTCCTACACCAGACCCTGTCTGTCTCCCCCCAAACACCTCGCCACACCCCTGAACCCCAAGCAGCCACCAGAGCGCCACCGCACCACGCATCAACCGGAACAGCAAACGCATACTCTAATGATGATGTAAAGAAGCCGCTACTAACCCGGAATGGGAAAGCTTGACGAGGGCAAGCCCGGCAAGGTTCGTGCAGAACTATTCTTGGGGTCTTGGCGGGGCTTTGTCATGGCTGACATCCGGGGTTAGTGTGAGACACTGCAGCAGCAGCAGCAGCAGCAGCAGCAGCAGCAGCAGCAGGCTAGATATGCCAAATCCTGTGTCACGGCTATCGCCACGCATCGGCCAGCGATGGGCGGTGTGTTGAGACATGCTTGAGGCATTGGTCGTGACTCGTGAATGTTCTGGTATGTACACGATGGGATGGGATCATGAGATGGATTCCATGCAGTGGGATCTAGGGTATAAATACCGCGAGATCGCCCTGCCATTGAGGAATATCATCACAACAACTCAACCAACCAACCAACCAACCAACCTCACTTTCGCTAAAGTCTCTCGCTTTCAGTCTTTTGACAAACCACAATCGCTACAATGAAGACCACCTTCGCTGCCCTCGCCCTCTCCCTCTTCGGCGCGGCCGTCGCCGCCCCGGCAAACACCTGCCCCCCGCCCACCGCAAAGCCCTTCCCCTACAGCGTCGACGACGTCAAGCTCTACCACCTCAAGGAGAGCAACACCTGGGACCTGACCATCAAGGTCACCGAGCGCGACGCCGCCGGCAATGCTATCGGCTCGACCTCGTGCCACAGTGCCTGGTACGTTCCAACCCCCCCAAAAACATCCCAATCTCACCGACTTAACAACAAATAAATAATGATACTAATATGGATTTGTATAGGAATGACGGCGCAACCTACGTCGCGCGCGAAATCTGCGAGGACACGCACTACTTCTTCTGGCTGCCCAACGGCGCCCCGAACCCGGAGAGCTGGGCCGTCATCGTCGACGGGCCGAACGGCCAGGCCGAGGGCACCATCGAGTTCGGGAACAAGTACAAGTGCGGCGACTACACTGGTGATATTGCGAATATTGATCGCGAGTGCACGACTACCAATGGGGGGTGGTTTTACCTTACCGAGCGTGATGCGAATTAGATGGACTGGGTTGGATGTGATGGTGTCTAGTCGGTGGTGCTATCTTTGATGTCTGGATCTGTTGAGGCATGGTAGTGCTGTGGTGTGTGGATGTGACTGGGGATGACGAGCATGGTCGGTGAGCTTCATCGATCGATTGAGCATTGCTGGTGTTTTTGGTTTTGCTAGGCTTTGTTTCTAGATTACATTCCTTATAGAATAATACGCACATCTAACTCGCGACGATCTTGCTATTCGTACTGGTAAACGTTGGGCGGATTTCTGTAAGGTCACTGATCGGTGTCCGGTATAGTTTAGCTACTTTTACAAACCAGATCCTCGGCAGTGGAGCCGAGGCTAGGTCTTGGGACTCCCCTTGGTCTGTATTAGGGAGGGGTAGTAATAAACAGTGCTTATAGAAATAACAGCATACACGTTCCTTATTTAAGACAACATCCTGTTTGACAACCTAAGCCTAGACGAACTCCTTATTAAGGTGAAGTAGACTTGGTACTTGATTAGTGTAC